ATCTATATGAAAATCAAGAGAGAAACTAACGTACTTCCTTCCTCTATGACTTTCCACACGCTAATGGGGAAAGCATGTGAAGTGTTGCCATAGGAAAAGAGTTCTGCTCTACGCCACCTGCAGCCCATTTCGATCGCCAATTCTGCATTCTGGAGAGTTTTCTAAATGATTCTTTTCAATGTTTTATTTATTTTTTTAAAATTTTTACTATTATTTTTTAAATTTCTCTGTAAACTGTATGTAAAATTTATTTTCTTAAAACAAACAAAATATCAAAATATTTTGAGAAATTGAAAAAAAGAAAGAAACGTTGGTGTTGGTTGATTTTGCTCCTTTTTCAAATAATGCGCCCATGGCTTTCGCCATGTCTGCCATACCCTAGATACGCCACTGGAGTTGAGACCACATTAGTCAAAGTTCACCCTGACATTCGTTTGGTATAGTGATTGATCTTTCTATCTTTAAGCAAAGGAGGGGATATAAGCCTCTATATTCTTTGTCTACGAAGTACTTCGATTGGTTTGAATAAATTATCTAACCAAGCATGCGCATTAGTAAAATTGCGCCAAACAAAAATGTTAAAAATGCCGTTCTAGCTAGCCTGACAAAACGATTAAACAATAAAGATGAAAACGATTAAGCAATAAAGATGAAAACGATGACGTAATCGGCCAATCAAATGTCTCTATTTATTAAAAAATCGGTCAGCTAAGCAACAACCAATCATAATCATCCCACCTACCATTCCACAATAAGCGAGCCATAAGCGCAACTAAGCAACGAGAGAATATTGGAACTTGGAACGTGCCCGCGTGTTTAAACCATACTTTTATTGAGAAAGTCTGTAGTCGTATTAAGCTGTGAAATGGCTAGTTGTCTGCATGAGAAAAATCTTTTATTAGTCTATTCAAAAGAATTTTTTTTTTTTACATGGCACTTTGAGGAATCGGACATGAAACCTGATAACTGCATTAGGAGTTCTGAGTTTCAATTAGCAGAGGGAGTTACTTCATTTCTTGAGATGCATGTTATTGAGGACCAAGGAGTCTTACGTCTTTTCTTGTTTTTAAGGAATCCATCAATCGGTATCAAAACTGGATTGTTCACTGTCATTGTAACAGACGAGGCCTCTACAATTTATAGCAAAACAGTATCGAAGAATTATTTTGTCAAACACGAAGAGGAAAAAATAAAAATCGATTTTCTCAAAGACTTCAGGGGCGATTTACCATCATCTGTTAAATATCCATTAGTCATCACCTGTAGTTCTAACTATTTTATTGCTGTTGATAAGTGTAAACATTCAGAGAACTTATCACATTTGAATAATTTGCGAGAGCTGTCCTTGCATTTTAAAAAAGTTTTGGACGAAGCCATTTACTCGGACATCGTTCTTGATGTGGATGGAGACAAAATTAAAGCTCATAAATTGATATTGCAAGCTCGTTCCCCTGTCTTCCACAAGATGTTCACTCATGAAGCTGCGGAGAATCCGATTGCCATCTCAGATATTGGGTTTGATACAATGAAGAGGCTTCTCAATTTTGTCTACACTGGTACAACAGATGAATATGGTTTTGAAGAACTTTTGGAACTATACTATGCTGCTGACAAATACGAAGTGATTTCTTTACGAGATAGTTGCAAAATAAAATTGCTAGACTTTCTTCAAGTGGATAATGCGTGCGTCTTATTTCTCGCAGCAAACCAACACAGCGACGATGATTTCGAAAATGAAGTGGTACAATTTATCAGTGCTGATTTTAAATCAGTGGTTGAAACAGAATCTTTTGCTGAACTGAGTAAAGACGATATGAAATTACTTATTCGTTTGTGTGCATGTGTTTTGGAAAAATAAATAGTTGGTGGATGCTTTTGATTTTAAAATTAAGTATATAATGATTAATTGGTCTAATTTTACACTGGAAAGAATATTTCCCCAAAATGAATAAGAAAGGGAATATTTTAATATGTGTATTAGGTTTTTATTATATTAATCTAATAAAATTGAGTATGTATCAACATCTCGTGTACCATCAAAATTTTAATAGATTCATCTCAAAAAAATTTTTTTTTATGAGTAGACTCTTTCCAAAATTGGTCTTGTTTACTTTTGCAGAAGTATTTCTAGAGAATCATTTGGTCAGCTTTTCATTAGGTGACGGATTTTTTTCTTCCTCTGTGGAGAAGGAATACAACTTGAAGGACCAATTGATATAATGCATCAATGACAAAATGATTTATTTGATTGAAACTTTTTAAACTAGTAAAATTATTTCTTTTGAATACTATTTTATCCTACGATTTTACTCAGGTTGAGGGTATTTTTCAAGAAAAAGAAAACTAAATTAACTTAAGTTTTTTCAAATATTTAATTGAGAACAGATATCAGTTCAATGTTTAAAATCACAGTTTTGTAATACAGTCTAAAATAAATTTTGGATCAATAATTTATCTATCTGTATTATAATTTATCTATTTTAAATATCTTCATAGCAAAGGTTTTGGATTTGCCAACTTGTACTTTTCGATCTTCACTAAATCTGTAGGAACCCCTAAATCTACCTCTCTCTATAAAGGAGGCAAAATTAATTATCACTTATTTACATATAAAATGCCCTTTTTATTACCCATATTTATATTGAAAGATCTTTTCAACTGGCTTTTGAACAATTTTTAACAGTAGAAAAACCTCAATTATATGAATAAAACAAATAATAAACTGGTGGATTAGTCACTCTTTCAAGTGCACCTACTGCCATCAAAATGAGATTCACCAATAATAAATATTTTCAATTGCTCATAAAATACTTTATAAATTTCAATTATTTAAATTTATTTTTTTGAATCAAGCTATTTAGTTGCCAAGTTAAGTGATCTCTCAATGCACAATTTAAATTTCCTTTATTGAACTAACTGTTGGGGATTATTTTCTCATCTCTTCTTTCTAAATCATCTTTTGTTATCAGTTAGCTTAAAATGCCAGAGTTCTTTTTTATATTAAAAAAAAAAATGATCAAGCATGGAATGCAATTGAAACTAAACAAAATTATCTGAATATAAAGCTATTCTCATTATTTGAGTGTAATGCTATTGTTAGGGAATTCCTAATTGCCAATATTATTATTATCATTCATCAAATGGCATCATCAAGATTCAGTAGAAGAAAGCTAATTTCTTCTAAATATACTTTCACAGTTCTTTTATAATCCAGAAATGTTAAGTTGTCTTGTATAGTACCATAAAAAGTATCCAGGAGAACATTATTACATTGTATATTGAAATAATTTGATATTTATACTGTGATAATGGTCCAGCTTCAGATCGATGGGTACGAACTTGTCTGCAAATTAAAGGTGGTCTGTGCGCAACACTGTCTGTAGAACCTGACAATTATTATTATTAGCCACTAGATGGCATCTTAATTATGGAAATGTAGTCCGAGCCAGTAGATAGTGTTTAATAATGTAAATATAATAGATTGTCTTAAGAATTCAATGAAAGCAGATGTATGCCTAATGTACAGAATAAATTTTTCGACAGCTTATCTTTGAATTTTACAATGGTTGCGAGAAACCGATTGAAAAGGTGAGCGAAAACTTTTCATTTACTTGTTAGTAAAAATATTGAATTGATATAATATGAAAAAATCTACTGCTGCCAGAAGTATAACTAGAACAGCTGTTACTAAACTCATTAATAAAATTGAAACTCAGTTAATACAGACTCAAAGGTTGAGGACATTATTGATTGTTTTGATTTATTATCTGAAAAAGACTTAAATGAACTGAATGCGAAAATTTTTAATTCGACGAAAACCGAAGATTTGAATAAGGAATTAACTTCATATTACTGTGTAAGAATAAATTAAATAGAGCTTAAACAATACTAACCTCTACGCAATTGGTATCTAATAATGCCTCTTCCATAAACAATGCTGAAAGAAAACAAAAAAAAATTTTAATTCTAAATCTATAAAATTTCTTTGAAAAAAATGCGCTAAGAGCAGCAAAAATTTCAAAAAAAGAATGAATGTAGCAATAAAGGAAATAAAAATGGGACCACCGAAACCGACGTCCTCAGGGGGTAACGACCCCGGTAGCCATAAAACAAAGCCTTTTCTATTGAGGAAGAGGCAAATGCCTAAAGTAACTCCCTCAGTACCCCGAAGGTTTTGTATAGAAGTCCAGGAAAAAACATGAAATACATAGAACCAATTCCAAAAAGAAACTCAAAACAAAATCATCAGAAAAATAAAAACTCACATTAATCAGGTCAAACAGCGATTTCACAAGCAAACCAAATGAAAAGGAAACACTTAAAACTAAAGAAAATAACGCCCACTATTACAATGCGCAGATAGTAAAAAAAAAAGAAGTCAAGGAAAAGATAAGTAACATATTAATCAAATGCTTAACTGGGGCTGCTCAGTTAAGACTTGAATTGCACCCTGTTAAAAATAAAAAAATATAAACTAGAATTCTTCAATCATTTTCTTAATTAAAAAATTAAAAGCAAAATCATTATTACTCAAATTATTAAAAAAATTATTCATTAATAACGAGACTAAATCCAACAACATTGAATTGCCCCTTTAATATTTGAGGAATTTGTTGGTGATATAATTAAATGGCCTGAATTTTGAGCTAGATTTAGGATTTCCATTCATGAAAGTAATTCATTGATTAAAGTAGAAAAACTTGTTTATTTGAAATCGTATTTGGCGAAAAAGCGATTGCTGGTTTATTGACTACAAATGAAAATTATGACTCGGCAGTTGGAAGAAAGGTTGGGGCGTAAGGATTTGATTATAAACAGACATGTGCTATGCTGTTGCAGTTCGAGAGATGTGGTTTTGTTGAGGAATATTTATGAAGTGATTTACAGATTAATTAATTGAAAAGCATAGGTATTGAACCAGATAGTTTCGGAGCACTTTTGTTTCCAATTGTGATCAAGGCACTTCCGAATGATGTAATTTTATCACTTGAAATCACAGTTCGGATAAAAATAAAATCAGTGATTTATTAACATTTTTGAAATTTTTTTTATGATTGATGCTCTAGAATCACCCGAAATCTGTGGTGCATTCATTGATGCTCCTAGTATAGAGTTCATTAAACAAATTGATAAGATCTCTTGAGTGAGCATATCTTTTGGTGGAAATGCAGTGCGAGAGTAATATAGTTAAAAAAATTTGTTAAATCGTAAGAACATGTGTTGAATAAATTTAATCTCTTGATGATAAAGATAAAAGACAGTACTGTCATTTTGAATACTGCAACTGAGAAATTTTGTATTTCTTGTGATAAATTAGGAAATCTTGTATCTGATAATTGCAACTGCTATAATTTAAATCAAAAGAAAAATTTGTTAAAACAAAAAGGAAGATGTTTTTCTTGTTATAAAAAATATCATTAACAATGAAATTGTCACACAAATGTAGAATGTACTAATTGCCATAGTAAAGAACATAAAAAGGATTTATGTGTTAAAATTGATTCTACAGACAATAATTCCCAAACAAGTGTTATTGATACAAATACTGTTGTTACCTTGGTTATTCCTGTTCTTAAAAATGAAGCAAACAATCAAACTATTCTTATGTCAACATTTAAAGCTGTTATTGTTGCCGCTAATGAAAAATTATTATATGGTGGTGTTCATTAGATTCAGACAGTGAAAGAACATTTATCCATAGACAAGTTTGCAATAAATTAAATTTTCCGATAGTTGGACAGGAAACTAATCATTTAAATACATTTGGCAGCACTGATTTAATTAGCTATGTTAGATCTAAATTGGGATTTAAATTGTGTAACGTTGATGATACGAATTTTCTTTTTATGATTGATGCTCTAGAATCACCCGAAATCTGTGGTGCATTCATTGATGCTCCTAGTATAGAATTCATTAAGCAAATTGATTTTTTAAACATTAAACTTTCAGACTGTGATGATCATCCACAAAAAATAGATATTTTGATTGAATCAGACTACTTTTGAAAAATAGTTACTTAAAACGAAACGCTTAAGTTCGTCTTTGTTAATTGAAACTCAAATGGGATGGGCTGTTCAGGGTCCGGTTTCTCAAAACCCCTTACTAAATGAATCAACATCAGTTAATGTTTTGAATGCCATTATTTCTAAGGACATAGAAGATGATAATTTAACATCAAATTATATCAAATCTTTTTAGGAACTGGAATCGATTGGCATTAGGGGTGAAACTTCTAATAAAAGTATTTCCAATTATGAAGTCTATCAAAATTTAAAGTCAAATTTAGGTGACAATTAGTCAAAATTAGATAACAGGTAGGAAGTTAAACTTCCTTGGAAACATGATAGTGTTAATCTGAATGACAATTATTTTAGTGTTGAAAAAGGATTACGTTCCTTGATTGGTAGATGCAATAAAGATCCTCACTTGTACACAGATTATAATGAAGTTATAGAAGAATATTTAAGATTAGGAATTATTGAAACTGTCGCTAATAAGAATGATGAAATTGAGAAACCTGTCTACTACTTGCCCCATCATCCTGTGATTCGAAAGGATAAAGACAACTTAGAGTTATTTTTGACGCTTCGTCACATTCTCCGAAATCCCCATCATTAAATGATTTGTTGCATTCTGGACCAAACTTAAACCTTGATTTATTAAATCTTCTTCTTAAGTTTAGACTTAACTACATTGCTGACATCGAAGGCATTTTTGATGATTTCACTTAATGAGAATGATCAAGATGTTGTGTGATTTTTATGGGTAGACAAGTTACCAGAAAATTTATCTGAAATTCAACCAAAAATTCTGCGCATGAAGCGTGTCTTGTTTGGTGTTACATCCAGTCCTTTCCTTTTAGCGGGTGTGATAATGTTGCATGTAGAAAAATATAGCTATAAATACCCTGAAACATGTAACATATTTAATGATGCTATATATGTAGGTGATCTTTTATCAGGGTCTTCAAATGAAGAGGAAGCATTTAAGATATCTAAAGAAGCCAAACTAATTATGGATGAAGCAGGCATGAAACTCAGGAAATGGAAGAGCAATTCTCCAAAACTAGTAAAATTGTGCGAAAATTCCGAAATTGAATTTAATCCAAGTGAAATTTAGAATTATGATGAAACAACTGCAATAAAGGTTGTGGGATTGATTTGTCATAGATACAAGGATATCTTTAAATTTGACTTAACTAATCTCATCCAATTTGTAAAGAACTCTGATGAAACAAAAAGAAAACTTATTCGATCTGCTGGAAGAATTTTTGATCCTATTAGATTTTTATCGCCTTTCACAATGAGGTTGAGAACACTTTTCCAAGAACTTTGGGAAAAAGGAATACATTGGGATGAGGAGTTACCAATCGATATAGCTCGCCAATGGGACATTTGGTGTGAAGAATTACCTTTAGTCAGCAGTCTTGAAATTCCAAGATATTTTGATTCAACCTTGATCGAAGATATGAAATCCATTTAAATTCATTGTTTCACTGACAGTAGTGAAATTGCCTATGGAGTCATAATCTATTTACGGTTTACAGACAATAATAATGGCAAGTTTCTTTTATCTAAAGGTAGATTAGCACCTCTGAAGAAATTGACAATTCCCAGACTTGAACTAACTGCTGCTTTGATAGGTGCTAGATTAATATCTCATATCAAACCCCTTTTTCAAAATCTGCATGTCAATGTCAGCTATCATTGCTGGACTGATTCAAGCATTGCACTCTCTTCGATTAAGGATTCGACTTCAAGGTAGAAGCCTTATGTGGCCAACAGAGTGCGAGAAATTCAATCTTTGACTGACCCAGGAATTTGGCATCATTGTCCTGGTCAAACAAATCCAGCCGACTTCATTACCGGATGAAAAAAGTTATCAGTAATTTATGGTGGCCAGGCCCTGAGTCGTTGCTAAAAGAAGAAAATTGGCTTCAAGCTCCACTTATTGTTTCAGGTAGTGATGACAGTACTCTGGATTTAGAAACTTGTAAACCTTACATTTCTCTCTTAACTTCTGCTGAGGAAAATCTCTTTTATTTGAAACTGTTTGGAACTATAAATAAAACAATCTGAGTAACAATGGATTAAACGATTTCTACACAATCTAAAAAAGAAAACTAAGTGCACTGAGCCTTTGAGTCCCCCTGAAATTTCTGGAGCAGAAATCTTCTGGATACGACGTGTTCAAGAATCGGCTTTTAGCCCAGAAAAGATTACACTCGTGAGAGGTAAAGAATTAGGCAATGATTCCCGGATAAAATGTTTTGATCCCTTTCTAGACAAAAATGGTGTAGTTCGAGTTAAAGGACACTTACAATGAGCAGACATGACAGAAGATGAAAAACATCCAATTTTGTTGCCATACTTAATGTAGTGAAATCTATGTAATTTGACCCTCCTAAAACAATGATTACTTTACTTATTCGAGTGGTCAACTTATGATTAAATTTAATTGATTTTACCAATTTTGTAATTGATTAATGAAATAAATGTACAAAGGCGTTAAACTTAACAAAGTTCTCTTTACTTTGTACTTCACGATCTCAGTTCTTAAAATTGGTCTTCATTTTGCCTTGTTTTCCAATTAGACATTACTAAAAAATAGAAACTCAAAAAGATTATTTTTTAGAGATAAATTGTTGAATTAAATTGATATAAGAAAATGGTATTGTGTTTTTAAACTTAGTAAATGAAGTTTGGAACTTCTGACATTATTTCATAATAACCTTTCAACTTATTATATATTATTTAAACTGACTTTATTATGTTGTTGCTATTTAAATTAAATTTTCTTTATATTTTTTTAAAAAAAACATGAAAACTTGATCCCTTTAGTGTTTTTCTTCTATTAAATGCAGATGCCAAAGCACTTTAATGAGCTTTCCTCTTTTTGTCTCATTTTGTTTTTCTTTTTTTTACCCATTGAGAAAATTTGTGTTCTAGGTTTTTCATGTCTGCACACTTTTAGATTTGATCTACTTCGACATAATCACGAATTGTAAGGGTCATAAAAAATCAGGCTAACATACACGTTAATTTTAATAGAGCAGATGATAATTTTGGAACTTCTTTTCATTATTACTGTCTTGACTGTTGATTTTAATATACATATCAATGGAATAGAATATTAAGAAACCTGCACAACTTGAAATATTCTGGCTTTACTGACATTCTATTCAGCTGTTACACTCCCTTTTTTGGAAAGTTGTAAAAAAATGACCAGTGGGTAACCTGTGATTGCACTAATGCGATTAGAATTTTCTCTCTTTTTTTCTTAATTTTAGATTGTTTTATTTATTTTTGCCAGACTTAGTTAATAGCTTCATTTGATTTTGTTACATTGAATATGTACTACTGTTCTTGCTGATCTCAGCTCATCAATTTCTTTTGAGCCTTTAAATTCTAAATTGTGTCAATCGTATCAGTTGAATGATATATAAATGGCTACTTTAACAGTAGTAGGTCTTTAATTATTTGGTACTCAAGATTTAAAAATTATTATATCATTTACGAATTAAATCTTTAAATAAAACAACTCTCTCTGCTGTATTTATATATTAAAATTTGCTTTTTTTAAAATTAAAAGTGAAAAAAAATGGTTTTAAATTTTTGTCTTTCATTAATCATATTTTTTTTATAGGTGGCTTTAATGTATTTGTCTTTTTAATGTTTGTTGTAAACTGAACAATTAACCTTGTGTATTACAATTAAAAACTGTAACTACTGTAAAAGTAATTCACAACTGTATTTTTAATCCCTGATGTAAACTGAACAATTTTAAAATAAGATCTATTTTAAAACTTAAATGAATTCAAGTGTTGCAATCTTAACTTTTTAGCAGTTAAGTAATTAATGTGCTTTTCAGTTACTTTTTACACTTTTGCCTCATAATAAAATTTTTTCCCTTCAGAATTCACAGAAGTGCCATGTGAATTCTTGGAGAATATTGTGAAACTGTAGAAGATACCCATAGCGTAATGATAGAATTTCGGCAATGTCTTGGAGCGGTCTGATTTTAAGTCTATATATATATATANTATATATATGTATTTTTTTTCTTCATCAACGTTACTTCTATTAATTTTTCTCAAAATTGTTCTATCGTTGCAAAATATTTTCATATGTATATTTTGAAAGGATGGTTGTAATCAGCCTTTTCTTTTAACTTAAGTTAAAAAGCCTGATACTTTTCTTTGAAGCAAATTTTTTTGTAAAGTAAAATTTCAGTTTCTAAATATTTTATTTAATAATTATTCTTAAAGGCAGATAAATGTTAATGTATGGTTAGTTTGCCGTGTTTGATGTAAAAATTCTATCATTAAAATCCAATCAAGTATTATCAAATGGTAATTAAGGTCCTAATTAAAATTTCTAAAAACAAGGTTTTTAATTAATTTTAAAAAAAAATTAGCGAAGTTTTTTCATGAAAAAGTAAGTATTTCTTATGTTTAATAATATAATAATGGTTTGGAGAAATTAAATACTTATTAATTAAGCTAATAACACAATCAAAACTAATAGTAAAATATGATTATGAAACTCTTCATTTCAAGAATTGAGTGTGAGATAACGTTTTATCAGAATAATTTTTTTTATAGAAATTAGATTTTTTTATTTTCAGGAAATGACCCTCAATGAAAATTACCTATAAGACCTGCTCATTCTTACTAATGTCAATGCAGATTGTAAAAGGTGGATTGAAAATAACTTCACTATTTAAATATCACTCAACTGTAATAATTTTTTAAACAAAAATTTTATCTTAAAAACATTTAAATGAGATAGTAAATTTTAATGCGTGTTAATTTTTTTTTCTCATGTGCTTGTTTATATATTCTGCTTATTAATTTAGCTTCCAATTGTGGATGATGAATTAAAAAAAAGCCTCAGGCGAAAACAAAGAAGAAAATGAAAGTGATGTGACTATGAGTGCTCCTGTTCAAAAATTAGTGACTGCTGATGGTACTTATGCTACACAGAGTGCTTTCAGTACTGCACCAATGCCGTCAAAAAGTATGTTTAATTCCGTTAACATATTTTACATTTACGTTATTCATTTAATTCCGTTAAAAATAACACTCTAGATTTATCGCTTTTTTCAAAGCTTTAGTTTTAAACTATAAATACCAACTACTAAAGAATTATTTGGGATTTTAAATGGAAAAATAGCTTTAGAAGTAATCTAACTTATTTAAAAGCCACTAATTTGGTGAGATTTCTTTTTTCCTATATGAAAATTATAGAAATCAATGAATAATTCTGAATTATTAGAAAATTTTATCAGCCCAGATAAGGCAGTGTAGAGCAATTTTTAAAATCTTTATAAGGTACATTACAAGCGCTTTTCAGTTTCGCAAATTGTGGATATTCTTAATATTGGCATTTTGTGCCATTTTCAGAATTAGTGTAATATAAAACAGAAAGTAATACAAAATGTTTTCACAATGAAAGAGTGAAAATCTATATAAAACATTTTTTAATATTTCTTATTAAAAATTTTTATTTAATATTTCTTATTTAACATTTCTTAAATATTAAACTTATAATTATTGATTCATGGAAAAAATATTAAATATTTTCTTCGTGTGTTTTTTAAGTGAAGGGTCAATAATTAAATTCTTTCATGCAATTAAAATTTAAAACTGTCACCAAATTTTTATTTTTTAAGTTTTTTCATTGCTGGTCATTGATTTGTATACTTAAATGTATGGTCTAAATGTAGAAATTATCCACATTAGGCTAATTATGAGATTAATTTTACCTAATTCATCATCATCATAGTTGGCCAGACAGCCAATGTGAGCCAATGCCTTCCTAATTTTACCTTAGCTTCAGCAAAACTTCACATTTGAGAAATTCACCCATAAATAAAATTTATATTAATCCTCTGACCTACCATTGCATTGCACTTCGATGCATTACTCTGGTACATGATGCTAAAAAACAGAATGCAAGTCTTTTTTTTTTAAATCATAGTTACCATATTATTTACCTTAAAAACAAATTTATTTTTAGGTAGGAATTATTGTGATTTGCCTCCATAATTATCTTTATATTAATCTGTACCACTATAACAAATAAGCAATTTTATGCCTAAAGTAGAGTATTCTGTTAATTCTTTTTACATTATTATCTCTGCGTATGGTGTGCAATAACTGTAATTATTATTATTATATGCCATACAACTCTCTGCATATAGTACAATTATCTATTTATTGTAATATTAATATCACATAATCTCAGGCTTTTATTGCTGAATGCATGCTAATTATGGCTTTAGTAATTCATTTGGGTAAATCAGGAACAGCTAAGAAGGTAAGCAATCTTTTTTTTAAATATTGAATCATTATTTCAAAACTTGAAGTATAATAACATGAATTTATAATTAGTTCACTTCTAGTTCAAAATGGCGGAGAGAGCAACAAAATTCATAACTGACAAATTTTTTTCTGTTTTCTATATTTTAAGCAATTATTACTATTTCTAATATTTTGTTTTTGATTGATTAGATATCATTCTAATACTAAAACATCATTGCCCGAAAAATAATGTTTATTTATTTTTTGATCGTTTTAAGCTTTGTTTACCTTGGGGGTCTATTATACGGAAAAATCTAATATCCGGGCTTCCAAAAGTCCCACCGATTCCGAATACGCGACTTTCCACTGTAATATAATATAAAAACACAACACTATGATTTTCAATACGTAAATTTTACAGTATGGTATACCCAAAAGACCACCCATATATCCATCCCTCAACTGAAGTCGTAATCCGTGAAAAAATAGGACCACTAATGCCATCTATTAGGAAAATAGTGAATTAAGCATCCTAAAGTAGAAATGAAGTCGGCTCGGGCTTCAGAAAATAGAAATGTTAATTTTTCTCTTGCCCGAAGTCAGTTCGGGCATCACACATACTGCGTGTAGTATTTGCTGGAGCTGGATTCAGACGACAATTGCAAGAGGGTTAATAAAATCTTGTGTTTATACATCTCCTGTCTTAATTGTATTATGCATAGCACATTTTAATGATATAAAATTTAGTGGTGTTTGCAAATTTATAAATAAGATATGAATATGCAACTGTAAAATTGTTTGAACAAAAATAAAAATTGTATTGATATATTTATTGTCATTTCATGTAGGCCCTGTCTGGTGAATGTGGTTTCATGGCTGCTAATTTATATGCCCGTTCTATTTTTGGTGAATATGCCCTAGCTAATGTAAGCATTGAGAAAAATCCTGTTCATCCTGAAGCTCCAGTGACTGGTCACATTAGAATTAGAGCTAAAAGTCAGGTATGAAGCAAATAATATCATAGCAATTTTCAGTGAACAATGATGTAAAATATTAAAATCATACAGAGTGACAAAAAATAACACATATTTGCTTCGATGTGCCTGAACTCATGAAAACATTATCACCTGTAAATAGGTAATAAATATGACATAGTGACTATTTTTAGCCTTAATGCAGAGCTGTAAACGTGTCCCAAACTTTCCTGCTACCTACTGTGACTCACCTGCTAATATTTTCTCCAATTCTTTGCATCAGGATTATTTATAGATGCCATATTCTTATGAAGTTTAGCCTATACCCGAGATGGACTATGCTGAATTTTAATCGGATTTAAGTCTGTTGAATAAGATAGTCATTTATGAGTAGTTGAAAATGTATCTTGTACCTCGGTTCTGTAATTTAATTTGCAATTTAAGTTGCTTCATTTTTTTTTTTTTTAATAATTTAAACCACAGTTTTTTTTTTCCTTTTAAGAAATCATTAATTTAACTTGAAAATATTTTTTATTATTTTTAAATATACTTTTAATGGTATTTATTTTAAATTCCAATTTTTAATGATATTAAGGTTTTGTCTAGAGATTGAAATGAATGTAAATAATTAATTGATGTTTAAAATAGACTAATAAATATAAATAAAATGTGGATAAAAATGGCCTGTAACTTTTAAATTTAGATTTTCTATTAGCTGTATATCAAGTAATTCGCTGTTTGTTTAAGTACAAGTACTTGTAAAACATTTTAAATTTGGATCATATGAATAATACGGAAAGAATTGTTCGACTGAAAGTAACCCTTAGTTTTTATTATGTTTCTTCAAATTGTGGAAAAGTAACCATTAGTTTTTATTATGTTTTTTTTAATTGTTTCTTATTGTTGTTGCTGTAAATTATTTTACTCCTCATTTGATATCTAATTAAAATTTGTCCTTGTGTATAGAAATCTATGAATTGGCGTAGCTGCTGTAAGTAGTGGTTAAAATAAAAGCGCTCCTGGTCTGATTTTACAAATTTATAACCTAACATGCCTTTCTTTTAAACCTTGAAAGAATCAATAAAGTGAAGGCATTGACATCCAATGACATATACACAAAATGAATTATAATTTTTAAAGGGAATATATAGAGCTGTGATGGCTTAGGGCAGTGTTTCCCAAAGTGTGGTACGCGTACCCCCAGGGGTACGGGAACAGTTTAGCTGGGGTACGCGTTCTTACGTGAAATATCTTGCAACATATGAAAATTCCAAATTTTTTTTATTTAAAAACAAAACTAGCCATGAAAATTTGCGATTACGTATTTTTCTATTGGCTATTTTTCGCAGAGTTCACAGTTAATAATTAGTGGTGTCAACAGCCAGTTGTGATTTTTAACTTTTGTGGATTTTTTGTAGTAAAAAATACATAAATTTTTTTTATTAGAGGTACACAGCGTTACGAAAAATTTAGAAAGGGTACACGAAATTCATAAGTTTGGGAAACACTGGCTTAGGGGATAGAGGGTTCACCTTCCAATGGGGTGGATTGAGTTCGAATCCCAACCAATCGATGAGAATTCCGTATCCGGTTTACGCCGACCACAACACTGACATGGAATATCCTCAGTAGTAGACGGATCATGGGTTAGAGACCCCTTGCAGTCAGGCTCCTTCATGTAACGCAAATGCGGGTTAGTTCCGTCAAAAAGTCCTCTACGAAGGCCAATTTCCCCCAATACTTGATCCAGGAGTTTCCTCGTCTTCTGGATTGGGTTCAAAATTATAAGGCTACGGAGTTGAATATCAGTAGTCTTAAACCCAAATTTGGGTCGGCTGTTCACCGATGGTTATGAAATTTTTGAGTGATGGACTATTATGCCGCAGACTTACCTGGCTCAGCAGTAACATTGTTGCTGTGTCTATTATAATTAAATCTAAATGTTGAAAACGAATGTCTAATAACTAAAGGGATACAGTGACAATTATTTGAGATTCCTATTCAGTTATGATTCAATGTTTTCCCCCCCTTTTGGCTAGACAGTTTAATAAATTAGAGTAATTTATGTTATTATCCAATTATCTAAGATGTATACTTTTTTTTGTATTAATAAAGTCGTATTATGATAAAACATATTTTATTATTATGAACTGTAATGTAAAATAAAAGTGTACATTAAAATACTTTTCTTTGCAGGGAATGGCCCTCAGTCTAGGCGACAAAATCAATACAAGTCAAAAAATGGCTTTGAAGACTGGCGCTTGAAACTATGAAAGAAGAAGTTTTATTGAGTCAAAACATCTTCATTATTTAAAATAAGAACTTTTTTGACATTCAAAGATCATGATATCTCAAATTTAAAGGTATATTATTATACATTGTATTTTAAAAGCNTGTATTGATATATTTATTGTCATTTTATTTCTTTTCATGTAGGCCCTGTCTGGTGAATGTGGTTTCATGGCTGCTAATTTATATGCCCGTTCAATTTTTGGTGAATATGCCCTAGCTAATGTAAGCATTGAGAAAAATCCTGTTCATCCTGAAGCTCCAGTGACTGGTCACATTAGAATTCGAGCTAAAAGTCAGGTATGAAACAAATAATATCATTAAACAATGATATAAAATATTCAAATTATACAGAGTGACAAAAATAACACAGATTCGCTTTAATATGTCTGAACTCATGAAAACATTATCACCTGTAAATAGGTAATAAATATGACATAGTGACTATCTTTAGCCTTAAGTGGAGTTGTCAACGTGTCCTAAACTTTTCGGCTACCAGCTGCGACTCACCTGTTTATATTTTGTCCAATTCTTTACACGAAGATTTTTTATAGATGCCATATTCTTATGGAGTTTTACCTATACGCAAGATGGACTATACTGAATTTTCATTGAATTCAAGTCTGTTGAATAAGATGGTCATTTATGAGTAGTTAAAAATTTATCTTGTACCATGATCGTATTATTTTATTTGCAATTTAAGTAACTTGATTTTTTTTAGTTATTAATTTAAGCCTAAATTTTTTTCCTTTTTAAGAAATCATAAATTTTACTTGAAAATATTTTTTATAATAATTTATAAATATACTTTTTAAAATAAATATAATATTTAGTTTAAATTCTAATTTTAATAGTATTAAAGTTTTTGTCTAGAGATTGAAATGAATGTAAGTAATTAATTGATGTACAAAATAGACTGATAAATAAAAATTAAATGTGGATAAAAATGGCCTGAAACTTTTAAATTGAAATTTTCCATTAGCTGTATATAAAGTAATTCGCTGTTTTTTTTTAAATGCAATGTAAAACATTTTAAATTTGGATCATATGAATAATATGGAAATAATTGTTCTACTAAAAGTAACCCTTAGTTTTTATTTTGTTTCTTCAAGTTGTTTAAAAGTAACCATTAGTGTTTATTATGTTTCTTGAATTGTTTCTCATGGTTGTTGCTTTAAATTAATTTAATCCTCATTTGATATGTAATGGAAATTAACTATAGAAATTTATGAATCGGCGTAGTCGGCGTTAATAGTGGTTAAAATAAAAGATAACGCTCCAGATCTGATTTTACAAATTTTTAAACTAACATGCCTTTGTTTTAAACCTTAAAAGAATGAACAATAAAGTTAACAATAGGGTGAACCGAGTTCGAATCCCAACAAGTCGATACAAATTCCGTAGCCGGTCTGCGCCGGCAGTGACGTGAAATATCTTCAGTGGTAGACGGATCATGTGTTAGAGTCCCCTTGCAGTCAGGCTCCTCCATGTTATGCAAATGCTTGTTAGTTCCATCAAAAAGTCCTCTACGAAGGCCAATTTCTCCCAATACTTGATCCAGGAGTTTCCTCGTCTTCTGGATTGGGTTCAAAATTACAAGGCTACGGAGTTGAATATCAGTAGTTTAAACTCAAATTTGGGTCGGCTGTTCACCGATGGTTATGAAATTTTTGGGTGATGGACTATTATGCCGCAGACTTACCTGCCGCAGACTTACCTGTTGCTGTGTCTATTGTAATTAAATCTAAATGTTGAAAATGAATGTCTAATAACTAAAGGGATACAGTGACAATTATTTGAGATTCCTATTCAGTTATGATTCAATGTTTTCCCCCCCTTTTGGCTAGACAGTTTAATAAATTAGAGTAATTTATGTTATTATCCAATTATCTAAGATGTATACTTTTTTTTGTATTAATAAAGTCGTATTATGATAAAACATATTTTATTATTATGAACTGTAATGTAAAATAAAAGTGTACATTAAAATACTTTTCTTTGCAGGGAATGGCCCTCAGTCTAGGCGACAAAATCAATACAAGTCAAAAAATGGCTTTGAAGACTGGCGCTTGAAACTATGAAAGAAGAAGTTTTATTGAGTCAAAACATCTTCATTATTTAAAATAAGAACTTTTTTGACATTCAAAGATCATGATATCTCAAATTTAAAGGTATATTATTATACATTGTATTTTAAAAACATTCTTCATTTTGTTGTACGTTAAATTTATAGTATTTTTCCATGTATAAATAAATCCACGTTGAATAATATTGTGTGTTGTAATTACTATTTTTTTTTAAATCTTGTGTAAGTTTTTAAATATTTATCTTAATAGCATCAGGAAACAATGAAAAAAAACTTCCATTTTTGACAAATTTATAAGTTACTTATTTTTCGTAATTTGTCCACTAAGCACAAAACATTTTAACAAATACATATTAAATCATATAGACTTATACTTAACTTCTAATAATTTTTAAGAGAGAAAAAAATCTGCTTTTGTTCACTGCAATTGAAAAAAAATTCAAAACTGTGAAGAATCCGTAGCTGGGAATATATTTTAAGCGAGAAACCAGTTGATTTTTCTTAAATTCATTATAGATAGAAAATGTTTTCTTAATCAATGTTTTAAATCAGTGGGGCAATTGAGAACTAATAAAAACAAAAAACATGTAAGTATTATTGATAAATTTAAATTCATTAATACTTTTTTTAAATTAATTTTTTTAATTTTATGTAATATATCCCATGTTTTGTTTGGTAAAATATCCAAAAGAACATATTTATTAGTTTTAAAAAAAAATTTCTTGACCAATACCTGTCTTTATTTCTTTAAAATTATTGATTTTTCAATCTGTAACTTACAATAATGATATTGGATTTTTCATATAAAGCGTTTAGTGTATTCTGTTGAATAGTTCTGGTCTGTGCTTTAATAACAATATGAAGTTTTAAAGAGAAACGGATCGTGATCACTAATAATAAAGCTAAATGGAAATTATATCAGTATTGTTTTCACAAAAACAAAGAAAATGTCAGCCACGAATTTTAGTCAAACATTGTGCATAGATATCTGCTGTTTCAGCAATCTGAATGATTTAAGTGAGTTTTAAAGCTCTAATTTCCTGCTGCATAACTTTATAACTTAATAGCAAACTTTCAAAAACAACTGATGACTTTTAAAGGTTTTTTTAAAAAAAAATCCTATTTTATAAAACGCATAAGTGATTTATACTAATGGACGTTATCACATTACAAATTTATTAAGATTTTTCTTTAAAATAGAGGTGTAGAACATTTTTACATGAATGGGTCACTTGCACTGCAGATTGACTAATGTTGGATCACATACACTAGTCCTTAGACTTGTTGACAGTAATTATAGGTAGTAATTGTTATAGATACATAAATGTTCTAAGCATTAAATTCCTTTTATCAATTAAATTTGTAATATGTTTGCATAAAATAAACTACTTTTAAATATTTACAATTAAAAACTGCTTAATTTAAAAAAAAGAAAAAGAAACATTCCCTTGTCAGAAAATATTTTAGATAAAGTGAAATAGAAACAACGAGAAAAGTCATGTTTTTTTTTATCTCATTAAATAATACTAGAGTAAATTTTAACATAAATTCTGAGAATGAAAAACTTTAATGTTCATCGACTTAAATTTTAAAGAAAAAAAATTTATTTTCTAGTGAGTAAATTCAATGCAAATTAAATACTTTAATTTTAAAAAAATATTTATAATTTTTGAAATGATTTAAATTGAAACAAAATTCTTATGGTGCGAAATAAAATTCAATATTCAGTAGAATCAGATGTTAAACTTTAATACAGAATAATGTTAAAAATCATGAGTAATGGTCATGTCCTCGGGGCTGGTATAGCCTGGTTGGCAGGGACTGGTTGAACTCTCGTTCGGGAGAACGGGAGTTGAATCCTAACGGCCGAAGACTCCCCGTGTTGAAAATGGTGACTGCTGCACGTTAAATATGTCAGGTCACAAAGTCCTCCATGTTCCCATAACAAATTAATACCTCTGCGGGTACTGAATTTGAGATTTATCGTTCTCTGGTTCAAGTCAAAATTACGGTCTGTGGGTGAATGAATGACAGTATGAATGGGTCTGCTCTTTAAACGGGTGTAATGTCTGGGTCTGGCTGAAGCCAAATTCTTGGCCATGGATGGAGGCCACTGGAAAAACAAGAACAATTGCACACCTTGCCTTAATGGCCTACGGCAACAACAATGTAGTTCTCACATGATTCCCTTATATCGTTACGTTTACCTCAAATAATAAAAATAAAATATTCCTTTAAAAAAATTAAGCGAACAACACAGGTATATAATCTTGTAAATATTCGAAAAAAAGGAGCATTTTCTTCAATTTAATTTATAGCAATGGCTAATGCTAAACAGAAAAAAATGGAGCCGTGGTGGCTCAAGCTATAGAGCTTTCGCTTCTCAATGATTGAACTAGGTTCGGATCCTCTGGTTGATGCGAATTTCACGACCGACTCGCACCGATCACCCTACGGACAAAAAATATCCTCAGTGGTAAACGCATCATGGGTTGGAAACCCCATGCCATAAGGCTAACTGTTGGATGTTTTCATGGTTTTCCTCTTTTTGTAACGCAAATGCTAGTTAGTTCCATTAAAAAGTCCTCCACGAACGCTAGTTTGTCTCAATGTTTAATTCAGGAGTTCCATTCTTTTCTGGGTTGGGCTTAAAATTACAGGGCTACGCAGTTGAACATCAACAGTCGAAAATTTAGAATCAGGACAGCTGTTCAACAACGGTCGAATCCCAGTCAATACGAATTCCGCATCCGGCTTGCACCGATTACAGTGCTGACGTGAAATATCCTCAGTGGCAAACAGATCATGGGTTAGAGTCCCCTTGCCGTCAGGCTAACCGTGGGAAGTTCTCGTGGTCCTCCTCTCCGTGTAACGCAAATGCGGGTTAGTTACATCAAAAAGTCCTCCACGAAGACAAATTTCTCCCAATACTTGATCCAGGAGTTCCCTAGTCTTCTGGATTGGGTTCAAAATTACAAGGCTACGAAGTTGAACATTAGTAGTTGTAAACCCAAAATCGGGACGACTATTCAACGACGGTTATATATATATATAAAAAAGGTACTACTAGGTACTACTAGGACCG